AAAAAAAATACCAAAAATATGATTGTTGAAGATAAATGCACAAATTATTGATTGAAATTTATGTTAAGAGAGAACTTAATTTGAAGATATTTGTGATTCTATTTCATAATATAAGTGGATTTTTCATCCATTTGATCTTGGTAATGAACTCATAAACACTTTAATTCATATTGAAAAATATAAATTTGCTAGTACACTCCATAAGAATCTACGTTGAATTGATTTAGTTCATTCAGTAGCATTGAAATTAGTATCGAACTAAAGTCCTCGAAAATATATATATATATATATATATATATATATATAACACCTAATTCCTTTACTTTATCAAATACTATATACAAACCAATTACAACATTTATATATGTGAAGATACATTATTGGTTCCTCTCTCCATGACTCATTATCTAAATTTTTTCAAAATGTAAAGCATAAATCAATCTCTAATATACTTTTGAGTAAATTTGCATAGAAAAACTAATTTTATGTTTTTTTTAATATAATTGATTATGATAAAAAATAATCAATTATGTTAAAAAAATAATTGATTATATTTAAAAAAATCAATTATCCTTATCAAAATGTGATTTTTACATGTTTTACGAATTATCAATTAATTTAGACAATAATAAATTATGTTAAAGAGATTTTAATTCGTAAATAGTCCACTATGTTTAATAATAATTGATTATGTTGATTCAAAATGATTTTTGAGCTACACGAAGAATGTAAGACCAATGAAAATAATTACCTTAATAATAAATAGTAATGACTTTCTCTTATTATTATTATTATTAGTAATTTTTTATGGATAAAAAATGTGATGAATAGATTTATATGAAAGAAAAGTGGTAAATAAAACAAGAAATTGTGATAGCTCATATGGTAGTTATGTGTGGTGACACTAGGGACATGGGTTTAAAAACATTCTTGGACTAAGCACAAATTCTAAAAAAGAGGTAGGGAGAGCTAACTCTTTCTAGACTATGCTTTCCCTATTTTTTATTTTTCCAGTTACTTCGGTAAAGCATCCATTTTTACTTCATTTACCATTAGATTAACCTCAAATTTAGATATATGGTTAATAAGACATATTACTTCATTTTGAATGCTCAGATTATTAAGGAATTAATTTTTCTTCTTTGAGTAAACTGATCATCACTCTATTTCTAGCTCTAAGTTATATAAGTAAAACATCAATTTCCACTTCGTTTACCATTAGATTAAGCTAATATTTTGATTTATGATTCCTAAGATCTATTACTTTACTTCTACCGTTCAGATTATTAAGATGAGGTATGTGATTAAGGTTATTAATTTCTAATTTTTGAGGAACTTGATCACCACTTTATCTATGTCCTTAAGTTCTCTCGGTAAAACCTCAATTTCTACCTAGTTAACCGTTAGATTAACCTAAAATTTGGATATGTAGTTTTTAACACATATTGATTCACTTTGANTATTTTTACTTTTATTTTATTTGTTAAGTTATTCTCAAAATAAATGGAAAAAATATAAATAGGTAGTTCAATGTAAAAAAGGGTGATAAATTGTGGATATAATTTCAAATAGTTTGATAACACCAAAAACAAGAAAAATGGTTAATCTGGTGTTGTTGTAGCAATTTAGGTCACAACTTTTGTTGATTTACTTTACTGGTTGTTTTTCTATCCTTAGTAATTTACTTTACTACGATTTATTGTTGAAAACCTTCATCTCTGTTCTCTTATTCATCTATTACACTGCATTTTATATTTTGAGCCATCTACCACAATCTTTAAAAAAAAATACCAAAAATATGATTGTTGAAGATAAATGCACAAATTATTGATTGAAATTTATGTTAAGAGAGAACTTAATTTGAAGATATTTGTGATTCTATTTCATAATATAAGTGGATTTTTCATCCATTTGATCTTGGTAATGAACTCATAAACACTTTAATTCATATTGAAAAATATAAATTTGCTANAGTTTGCTCAATTCACATCAAATATATCATGTTGTTCAGGATATCAATAAATAAATTAAGTCAAAGAATAAATAAGTAAATAGACACACAAGGTTAAAGAGAGTAAAATAGTGAAAAAAAATGTGTCGAAACAAGTAGAATTGAAGAATCACTAGTGCAGATCAGGAAATGGCCTCGGTCAATTTTGTTTATGGGCATCGGTTCCACAATCGAGCCATATTCGGACGAGGTAAAAGAAGGTTGCTTTATGCCTCAGTTCTAAACCGAATTAAAAAGAGATTGGATGATGTCTCGGTTATCTAAGAACCGAGGCAATTGCGTGTTTTTTTTCAAAACAATCCACTTCTCCCTCTTCGTTGCACAGTCCAAGCAAGCAAAGGGTTATTGAATTTTTTTCCATTTCACAAAACCAAATCTCAGAAAATAAAGAACCAAATATCAGAATAACACAGAAAAATCAACTACACCAACCTTAACAAAATCGCTCCCAAAATAACAGAGAAAAAAAAAGTATGGGTTTTGATGCAATGAGCATTTGGAGAAGAAGGGAGGTTGCTCGCCACCGCTGCAGGACGCCTTGCCGCCACCTCTTCATTGCTCGCCATCGCTGTAGGACGTCCTCGCCGCGACCTCGCTGCAACCTCGTTGCGACCTCGCCACCACCTCGCCAAGGAACTCCGTTCAACTCTTAGATCGGTGAACCTCCCATAATCTCCAAGGCACCATCTTCTCTGCACAAACGCCTTAGATCGGCGAGCCTCCCATCATCGTTGTCGCGGTACTCGTCTCCACCATCGCGCCTCCCCTCCGCTTTCGATGCCGGACACCATCTCGCCTCCCCTCCGCTTTTGACGCCGGCCACCATCGCGTCTCGTCCTCGCACCGTGGCTGTCAAGTGGGAGAGGAGAAGAGAGATCGCGCCCTCTTTGTTTCTTCCAGATGAAAATGAAAACGGGGAGATGAGAGTTTGTTTTTGCCAGATGAAAATGAAAAAGGGGAGATGAGAGTGCCAGAGGAAAGAACCGCTTCGTGTAAAATGAAAAAGCGGAGATGAGAGTAGGTCAAGTGTGACTGATTTGACCGGGGTAATAGGCCTCGATTCTACCTTTAACCGAGTCAATACGCCAAAATACAGCCTCAGTTCCACCTTTAACTGAGTGAATAGCCCAAAACACAATTTATATGCTTCGGTCCTTAGTAAACCGAGACATAAATTCATCAAAACTACAAAATTGTCACCGCTCTCTCATAGACTTCGGTTTTCCTTAGACCGAAGTCTATTGGACGAGTTAAAAGGCATAATTTTTACTAGTGAATGGAACTGAGGAAGTACTATTAAGAAATCTAGAAAAGCCTGATCAAGAAAAAAAAACATAAATAAAAATCGAGTTAAGACAAAAAGACATAAAAAAAAAGTATGATCAAGATAGAGACATAAAAAACAGGGGATCAAAAGGGCAAATACTACAACTAGATAGAGAGAGAAGTTATATACAATAATTATTACAACACATGGAAATAAAGAGAACATTTGGCACAACATGGATAGTTTAAGGCAATTACTTTATTTATGTATTTTTACTTTTATTTTATTTGTTAAGTTATTCTCAAAATAAATGGAAAAAATATAAATAGGTAGTTCAATGTAAAAAAGGGTGATAAATTGTGGATATAATTTCAAATAGTTTGATAACACCAAAAACAAGAAAAATGCTTAATCTAGTGTTGTTGTAGCAATTTAGGTCATCTCATTTTTTTTTTAAATTTTTATCACTAAATCAACCTTATAATTCATTCTTTAGATAAATTAAATCTTAGTTTTGATAAATAAAACAATCGTACTTGATTTTTAGTTCTTTTCTCCTTTTCTTCTTGAATAGATGTTTAATACGTTGCAAATGTAGGATTGATATTCTGCAGTCTTACAGGAAGTGATTAAGTTGCTGGAAGAAATTTCCAAAGGACTTTTGAATTAAAGTACACTTCAATCTAGAAAAAAAGAGGTATTACCACATCTTAATAACCAAGTAGTTCACAAGGTTTTAATGCAACTCCTTCCATTTACTATAATGAGGATAATGGAAGAACTCTTGTCAACTTCTTATCTCCAGTACTCCCTCCCATGTGCATAATTTAGGAATTTGCAATATTCTGTGTGACATCTGCACCTACATTCTGCTCAATTTCTGATATCTTTATTCCTTTATGTCCTGCTCTCACATTATTTTCTTTCACACTTTCTCCATCTCTTTCCTTGATTTCTGACTTGGATTCTTCTTCTTTCTGGATCACCTCTCCAATTATGTTTGCATTGGCATCATCAAGCATATTTTCACTTGGTCCTTTCTCCTCCTTCTCTACAAAACCTTCATTGCCCTCCATTTCTTGAACCTTCAACTCTTTATCTTGTCTTGTATCTCCTCCAATGTCTTTAGGCATACCTTCATCTACACTTTTCCCCTCTGCTGATGGTTTTACTCTTCCATCCTCATTCTTCAACTTTAATTCTTTGATTTCCTTTTGGCTTGCTTCTCCAATTTTCTGTGAGGTGGCTACTCCAACTTTTTGCTCTGGTTCTGATGTCTTCTTCACTTCATATTCTTCCTTTCCAACTTCTCTAAAACTATCTCCATTTTCACCATCAGTTCCAACTTTAGATTCTTCTAATTCTTTATGTACAGTATCCTTAGTTATTTTCCTGTTGGAATCATCAAGTATCTTGTGAGACACTTCTTCCTTCTTCTCCATAGAATGTTCACTCTCCTCCATTTCCTGAACTTCAGACTCTTTAGACCCCTTTTGGCTTGTCTCTCCAACAGCACTAGGAATGTGATCACCTTCAATTTTCTCTTGTTCTGATCTCCTTCCATCAGATTTTTCTTCCTTGATCTCTTCAATCTTAACCCCACAAATTCCTTTAACCAATTTTGGCATGACAATGTTCATTATCCATTCCTCCTCATCATACTTGGCTTTGATCCCATCCAATTTCACCCCATCAGGAATTTTGAAAACCTTATTAAACCCTGCAACATCAACCTCTTTCCTATGCATTAACCATCCCATCATCAAAATATTCTGAACAGGCTTCTCTCCACTAACTGATATCTTGCTACCATCTTCACTAATCTTGATGTTAATGTTATTCTTCTTAAAACCTGTTTTCATTGGATACTTACTATGATTTATTCCATAAAGAATAAAAGAACAAAAATGTGAAAAGAAAATAAGGACAAACAAGTACATCACTTATCACTTATATGCTAGATCACAGATATCCTTCAAATCCTACAAGCCTTGTTCTTACATAACCGATACTCAAGTTTGAATTCTAAGTATATAACTGCATTAAATGATTTGAAAGAGGGTTTTGCCATCATAATAGTTTTGCCTGATTCAAGCAAGATTGTATATCATGAAGAATAATTGTGATCTCTGCTAAAAAGCTAAATGAGTTATGCAAGATGTTACAAGACTGACCTTTGAGATGAGCAGTGAGGATGAAAGCAGTGTTTGTTTCTCTAGATTGAAAAACAGGTCCTGCTTTTGCTAATCGATATTCAGAGATGGAAGCAACGTCATCTCTAGTTTTGGTGATTTTGAGTCCCAATTCCAGGTCCATCTATTATGTTGCTGCTATAATATTTCCAGAACAAGGATTAAAAAAATGTGGTGTCAGAATTTAAAATAAAAAGTTTTAGATTTTGTAATAAGTATCCAAACAGAAAAATGATATTTGAGGCTTCTATCATTGGCTGGTCATAATTGTGAAGTATTATTCTTTTCTTTCATTGTGAGTCCTAAATATGAGGATGATGCCTATACGGTTTGTGTTGTTCTTTCTTTTGAGGGAAGCTAGTACTTCCATTCCTTTCAAAGATTCTAGTTTTCAAAGCTCTCTTCATTAAAAACCAGACCTTTGTTCAGTGAATTCATGATTATTGTCTTGTAATGAAATTCCAATACTATTTGTGTCACTTACTATTGCTTTTCTTGTTTCAGAAAACCAAGGTTTGAAGCATGGTTGGAAATGTTATGTGATGAACTAGGTTTAATGCTATGCCCAAAAGATTGATTAATAGCTTTTGTTTGATGAAGAAAAACATTTCAAGCAGAAGTAAAAATAAAATATATTCCATAACCCCCTTTCTTTTCTTATTCTACAAACTACAAATTTAAGTGTATAAATATCGTAATTATAGTATAATTTATAATTTTTGGTAATGTATAATGAGAATAAGAATTTTTTATTTGGTGTATATAAATTATGCTTTTATTTTACTTTTATTTGTAATAAATGTATTGTGTAATGTGGAAGGGAAGGAACGCAGGTTAACAAAATGAGAGTGTAATTGTGATGAGTGAAACCCTTGCATAGTTAAACTTTAAATTTTAAAATACAAACCATTTTATTTTAAAAACATATAAAATTAAAATTAATATAAATGTTATTAGCTCATTAAAATAAAATAATAAAATAGAAAATACAGACTCATAACAACTTTATTTCAACATTTTTTGGACAAGGTAAATGGATAAAACAAATATTGTTATTTTCATGTTATTAATTCCATTAAACAATAACAGTAATTTCAACTATTATATTCCCCAAATATTAATAAGGAAAATTGAACTCACAATTTCTCTCACATTTTTTTTTAAATTTTTATCACTAAATCAACCTTATAATTCATTCTTTAGATAAATTAAATCTTAGTTTTGATAAATAAAACAATCGTACTTGATTTTTAGTTCTTTTCTCCTTTTCTTCTTGAATAGATGTTTAATACGTTGCAAATGTAGGATTGATATTCTGCAGTCTTACATGAAGTGATTAAGTTGCTGGAAGAAATTTCCAAAGGACTTTTGAATTAAAGTACACTTCAATCTAGAAAAAAAGAGGTATTACTACATCTTAATAACCAAGTAGTTCACAAGGTTTTAATGCAACTCCTTCCATTTACTATAATGAGGATAATGCAAGAACCCTTGTCAACTTCTCGTCTCCAATACTCCCTCCCATGTGCATAATTTAGGAATTTGTGAAATTTATATATGTACTCAATGCACATTATATCTTAGTCAAGTCCAATTACCATCTTGGTAATGTCATTCACATAAGTTATTTATCAAACATATAAGTTTGCTCAATTCACATCAAATATATCATGTTGTTGAGGATATCAATAAATAAATTAAGTCAAAGGAATAAATAAGTAAATCGACACACAAGGTTAAAGAGAGTAAAATAGTGAAAAAAAATGTGTCGAAACAAGTAGAATTGAAGAATGGAACTGAGGGAGTACTATTAAGAAATCTAGAAAAGCCTGATCAAGAAAAAAAACATAAATAAAAATCGAGTTAAGACAAAAAGACATAGAAAAAAAGTATGATCAAGATAGAGACATAAAAAACAGGCGATCAAAAGGGCAAAGACTACAACTAGATAGAGAGAGAAGTTATATACAATAATTATTACAAAACATGGAAATAAAGAGAACATTTGGCACAACATGGATAGTTTAAGGCAATTACTTTATTTATTTATTTTTACTTTTATTTTATTTGTTAAGTTATTCTCAAAATAAATGGAAAAAATATAAATAGGTAGTTCAATGTAAAAAAGGGTGATAAATTGTGGATATAATTTCAAATAGTTTGATAACACCAAAAACAAGAAAAATGGTTAATCTGGTGTTGTTGTAGCAATTTAGGTCATAACTTTTGTTGATTTACTTTACTGGTTGTTTTTCTATCCTTAGTAATTTACTTTACTACGATTTATTGTTGAAAACCTTCATCTCTGTTCTCTTATTCATCTATTACTCTGCATTTTATATTTTGAGCCATCTACCACAATCTTTAAAAAAAATACCAAAAATATGATTGTTGAAGATAAATGCACAAATTATTGATTGAAATTTATGTTAAGAGAGAACTTAATTTGAAGATATTTGTGATTCTATTTCATAATATAAGTGGATTTTTCATCCATTTGATCTTGGTAATGAACTCATAAACACTTTAATTCATATTGAAAAATATAAATTTGCTAGTACACTCCATAAGAATCTACGTTGAATTGATTTAGTTCATTCAGTAGCATTGAAATTAGTATCGAACTAAAGTCCTCGAAAATATATATATATATATATATATATATATATATAACACCTAATTCCTTTACTTTATCAAATACTATATACAAACCAATTACAACATTTATATATGTGAAGATACATTATTGGTTCCTCTCTCCATGACTCATTATCTAAATTTTTTCAAAATGTAAAGCATAAATCAATCTCTAATATACTTTTGAGTAAATTTGCATAGAAAAACTAATTTTATGTTTTTTTTAATATAATTGATTATGATAAAAAATAATCAATTATGTTAAAAAAATAATTGATTATATTTAAAAAAATCAATTATCCTTATCAAAATGTGATTTTTACATGTTTTACGAATTATCAATTAATTTAGACAATAATAAATTATGTTAAAGAGATTTTAATTCGTAAATAGTCCACTATGTTTAATAATAATTGATTATGTTGATTCAAAATGATTTTTGAGCTACACGAAGAATGTAAGACCAATGAAAATAATTACCTTAATAATAAATAGTAATGACTTTCTCTTATTATTATTATTATTAGTAATTTTTTGTGGATAAAAAATGTGATGAATAGATTTATATGAAAGAAAAGTGGTAAATAAAACAAGAAATTGTGATAGCTCATATGGTAGTTATGTGTGGTGACACTAGGGACATGGGTTTAAAAACATTCTTGGACTAAGCACAAATTCTAAAAAAGAGGTAGGGAGAGCTAACTCTTTCTAGACTATGCTTTCCCTATTTTTTATTTTTCCAGTTACTTCGGTAAAGCATCCATTTTTACTTCATTTACCATTAGATTAACCTCAAATTTAGATATATGGTTTATAAGACATATTACTTCATTTTGAATGCTCAGATTATTAAGGAATTAATTTTTCTTCTTTGAGTAAACTGATCATCACTCTATTTCTAGCTCTAAGTTATATAAGTAAAACATCAATTTCCACTTCGTTTACCATTAGATTAAGCTAATATTTTGATTTATGATTCCTAAGATCTATTACTTTACTTCTACCGTTCAGATTATTAAGATGAGGTATGTGATTAAGGTTATTAATTTCTAATTTTTGAGGAACTTGATCACCACTTTATCTATGTCCTTAAGTTCTCTCGGTAAAACCTCAATTTCTACCTAGTTAACCGTTAGATTAACCTAAAATTTGGATATGTAGTTTTTAACACATATTGATTCACTTTGACCGCTCAGATTTGTAATTAAATGTTAAATACAGAGAAATTAGTTTTATACTTCTTAGGGAACTCAACGCCACCTTAATTCTATTTTTGGATCATCTAGGCAAAATTAAGATTTCTGTTTCATTAACCGTTGGATTGAACTAAAATTTTACCATATATTCTAAACATGTTTTTATTTACTTTGATCAGATTAGATCATTGATTAAATGTCTACAATTAGAAAAATGCTTCCCTGTAATATTTCAATTGGTTAAGTTGTTAATAATCTTTGATCAAATCGAGTGAAATCTTGAGTGATTGTATTATTGATTTGTATGTATGGTTGTATCATTGACTTGAAAACTATTCTAAGTTAAGATATGAACATGAATTTAGATCAAATTTGCATGATTAATTGGTTGATGAATATGAACATGATATGAGATTGGTCAAGGGTCTTGCAAAGAGATTCTATGTTTGTAATGGACTAGTGTACACGTAGATGTTGGAAGTCCTGATGTTGGAGGTTATCCTCATACTTTAATAACCATCTAGTCTCAAGTAGAGAAGGATGATTTGTGTGGTGAGAGTGACATGAGATCCTAGTCTATGTGCCTTCTTTGGACATAAGTGTTGACGGACTAATCTTGTGGATGACATGATGTATTGCATTGACAATGACTCTGTAAGAGTAGTAGAGGCCCCACAAGTGAATGACCCCATGATCATTCTTATGTGAAGTAATATATTTATACATGTTTTATGAATGATCTTTTGCATGTTAGCTCACCCCTACTTGTTTGTGTTTGTGCGATGGTCGTATAACGTGTGTGTTATACAGGAACAAAGTTTGATACAAATATAGTTGAATACGTATAAGTGTGAGGAGACACACTAGGAAACTTTTGGTTGTTTTCGGAAAGCATTTGGAAAAATGTTTTAAGTTTTAATATTTAAAATTCGTTTTAAGTATTTTGGACAAGAATGATGTTTCGAATAAACAAAGCTTCTATTCTTAAATTTCATATTTCTTTTGGTAAAAAAATGTGATGTTACATTAGTGGTATCAGAGCATGATTTTTTAAAATGTTTTGGGGCTTTTGGGAAGTGAGCTCATTAGCTTCTATAGTGTAACTCTGTGACTTGTTGTGTTTTTGTGACGTGATATGTCAAATTATGAATTTTCTTCACTTATGTTAAAAAATATTAGTCCACTTTTCAAGCAATCAGAGAAATAAAGTTGCAACTTCTATCAAATGAAAGCTTATAATATCACATACTATTAATGCCATGCAAAATGATACTGAAAGAAAAAAGTCAAATTATTCCATGAAT